TTGAAGGGGTGTCACACTGAGGATGAAGCAAGCTTGTTTTCTGCTGCTGCAGAAAATAGGACATGGAACAATGGATTCAAACTGCAGGAAAAGAGATTCCAAGAGAGGAAGAACTTCCTGATGGTAAGAGCTGTTTGGCAGTGGAATACATTGCTACCTTGGAGAGTGGTGGAGTCTCCTTCTTTAGGGTTTTTTAAGCAGAGGCTAAATGGGCATTCATTCCAGGGAGTGCTTGGATTGTGTCTTCCTGAAGAGCAGAAGGGGGTCGGACTGGGTGGCGCTTGGGGTCTCTTCCAACTCTAGGATTCTATTATTCTAAGTTAACAACAATACAAAAGCATTAAAAATGTATATATAAAGTTTTAAAAAAACAATTAAACAATTTAAAAAGTGAAAAACATTACACATTGAAAATATTAAAATGTATTAAAAACTATATGCAAACCTTGATATCTGAACGGCACAGCACTTAAAAGCCCAACTCTCGTCAGTTTGGAAAAGCCTGATAGCACAAAAATATTTTAACCTGTTTCTGAAAAAAGAGCAGGAATAGGGCCATCCGGACTTCTCGGAGGAGGAAGCCTGAGAACAGTGACCAAGATGGCGCTGTGTCCCTTGTTCCCAGTAATTGAACCTGAGAGGGCAGTGGGACAGAGAAAAGGGCCTCTTTGGGTGATCTTAGTACTCTAATGGGCTCATAAAGGGAGATACAGTCCTACAAACAGACACACATTTTGTACTGTGATGTTGTCAAGAGAAAATGTTCCTGGGTAGAGGGATGGCTGCACAGTCAGCCCTCCACATTTGCGGTTTTGACTTTTGTGGATTTGATTATTTACAGATTGGATTAATATGTTCTCTCTAGGAATCTCTAAGTCCTCCAGCGCAACTCTGCCAGAAGTTGACAATAGAGTTGTGCTGGAGAATCTAGATGTTCCTAGAGAAAACACTTCTCTAGGCACTTGTAGATACTCCAGACTGATTGCACTGGAGGATCTAGAGATTCCTAGAAGAGTGTTCTCTAAGGTAAAAAGAATAGTGTTTTTTTAATTACCTTTTTTTCCACATTCATGGGGGTCCTTCACCCCTAACCCCAGCAAATGTGGAGGGCACACTGTAGATCTGTCTATTTCAATACCTCTCTCTCACACTGTCCTCACCCAGACCCCCATTCCCAATTGGAACAAGTGAAGAATTGGGTACAGGATGCATTTTTGCACATCATGCTCTCGAGTGGAGGACTAGCTTTGCACTGTGGCTGATCATTAGGCTTGACGGTGCTGCCAGTTCCCTGAATGGTTTCTTTGCCCTCCCCTGCTTTTGGGAGATCACCAACCAAACAGGAAAGAATGAAGCCCCAGGTATGACTACACACCTGAGACTCATTCCACCCTCTGAATCTGGAGCCTGGTCAAGGTATCCTTCACACAGCTTCATTTTGCATAAGCAAAGCTCAAAGCTCTGTGTATGTGTTTAAATGAACTTACTGCCATGCATGAAGCAAGCAGCAGGTTCGCCTTGGCAGGAACACTTTCATCAGGATGAAGGTTCTCTCGGAGACAAAGCCTTTTCCTCAGATGAAAGGAATTCATATAATTTTAATTCCCAAGTGGCTTCTCTGTGGGATCAAAAGGCTCAATTCTTCAATAAAATGGTTTCTTTCAACAGGATAGCACTGCATACCTACGTGAAATAATTCAAAAGTCTGGAGGCTTATTCTTTGGACCAGTTTCCAGTCATGGTCATTTTAAAAGAATTGTGTTATTTAAATTTATTGGAAATCTAAGGGATTGTTTTGGAGGGAATAAATTATACTCGCTTCCTTTATATAACAATTGAGGCCTAAATCTACTTATACTCCTCCTTCTATGATCAGCCAACTCTATTCAGATTTTCAGAAATGTTACCAAGTTTCCTTTTGAAACTTTAAAAACTCACATTACATTTTCTTTAATTTTTGGTGTGGATTAAGTGGTATGCTAGATAAAGATAAGTAAAGTTAGGTAAAGTCGTGGTAGAATCATAGAATCATAGAGTTGGAAGAGAC